TACATGTTGCAAACTGTCTTCTGGACAATATGGATGTTGTCCTTTACCAAAGGCGGTGTGCTGTTCTGATCATATCCATTGCTGTCCAAATGGTTATACATGTGACACAAGTGGTGGAACGTGCAATAAAGGTTTGTCAGTAGTTCCCATGGTGAAGAAATTGAAAGCAAAGAACTTAAGGAGTGTAACGTGTCCAGATGAAACATCAGAATGCCCTGATGGTAATACATGTTGCAAACTGTCTTCTGGACAATATGGATGTTGTCCTTTACCAAATGCAGTGTGCTGTTCTGATCATATCCATTGTTGTCCAAATGGTTATACATGTGACACAAGTGGTGGAACGTGTAATAAAGGTTTGTCAGTAGTTCCCATGGTGACGAAATTGAAAGCAAAGAAATTAAGGAGTGTAACGTGTCCAGATGGAACATCAGAATGCCCTGATGGTAGTACATGTTGCAAACTGTCTTCTGGACAATATGGATGTTGTCCTTTACCAAAAGCAGTATGCTGTTCTGATAATGTTCATTGCTGTCCCAGTGGCTATACATGTGACACAGGAGCTGGGATTTGCACAAAGGGATCATCAATGATTGCCATGATGAGGAAAGTTAATTCCAGGAAGATTGGTGAGAACAACATTTTTGATTTGTTGATGTGCTTTCTGTTTGTCTTCGTTTGTTTATTGGTACACTGGAAGCTTAGATTTTTATATTGGATTTGACAGCTTCGTAATTTTACTATTCCTTGAACGTGTGTTTAAGAGATAGCGAGAGAGAATTCCAAACAAAAATTGTAATTTATCGGTCCTCGATGCCTTCGATGRACAAGCTGAAATCATTTCAAAATCTCATCTGAGTTTTATAACTGATTCAAAAACCAAGTACATAGATATGTAAGACAAAAATACAAATATTTAAATTGAAATCAAAAAGTTGAAAAGACAACTGCAGGGCACCACCTAAATTATGGCTTCATTAATATTTTATTGTATTTATTGTTGTTTTTTTAGAAAAGAGTTTGACTCTTCTTTTTTCGTTTCCCACAGTAAAAAAGACATTTAATCGAGATTGTCCAGATCAATCACAATGTTTGTACTATGAGACTTGTTGTCTAATGGAGTCTGGCTGTTATGGGTGCTGTCCTTTACCCAATGCTGTTTGCTGTCCAGATCACCAGCATTGCTGCCCTAACGGTTACAACTGTGATAAGTATTCCAATACCTGCTATGCGTCAGCCAAGATAATCCCTTGGATACCACACCGTCCTTCCGAGCAAAAGATTCATTCAGATGGAAGTGTTAAGTGCAAAGATGGCTCAGAATGTAATAGCGGTGAAACGTGCTGCGAGACCACCTCTAAAAAGTATGCATGTTGCCCGTTGCCATCTGCAGTTTGCTGCTCAGATAAGGAGCACTGCTGTCCGGCTGGATATACATGTGACGAACAAGGAAATAAATGCACTAGAGGAGCCAGAGTAGTACCTATGGTAGCTAAGTCACCTTCAAGGAATCCTTTAAAGTTTAAGTCCGTGCCTATCAAAGTTTCTCCAACTCCTACAGTTGTGGACAGCGTGGTTCGTTTCGTACCGAATGACAGCAAAGATGAGTGCAACTGCGGTCTGTATAAGACGTGTTGTAATGTATCGAAAGGTCAAACATACTGCTGCCCATTACCTAATGCCTCTTGCTGTTCCGATGGTCGACATTGTTGTCCTCAGGGATTTACGTGTGATTCAAGTAAAGGATGTATTAAAAAGTGAACATGAACAAAAGGCCGTATTATCATAAATAGCGATTTTCAAACATTCGCCTCGCGTAAGGTAATCCAGAACTAGGCTGGGTTCCAGATCCTGGGGATTCTTAATCCAGTCGCTCAGATTCCTGATTTTTTCTGGATTTTGGATTCCAGATTTTCTTTTGTATTTTGTATTCCAATTATTATAATGTCTGGATTCCGGATTCCATAGTTATATTTTTCTTGGACTCCGGATTCAGGATTACCTTACATGGGTCGCGTAATTATCTCCATTAGTAATTTTAAAATTAGTTTAAAATGATGTAACCTAAAGTATGAAGACAAAGTCAAGTAAGTTAATCATAACTCAGTTTTGAAAATTGTAATTACCTCACTTATAAATATAGAGCGGATTTCGTATGACTGTGCAAAAGCACGGATCACAGCACGGACACGGCACGGCACGGTCATGGAACCTCGCCTTCTAGGATTTCAAATACAAGTAAAGATTTTCCAATGCATCACGGCTACGGCACGGTACGGACACAGCACGAACGTACCATGTTTTTTTTTTGCACAGTCATACGAAATCTGCTCTAAGCAAAAATTAGCCACCGTTATGCCCGTTTAATGCACAATTTAGGTAGACTGAATTTCTTTAAATATCATCTTCATGTATTTGTTGGCCAGGAGCTGGTTGTTCGAAGGGTGAATAGCGCTATCCACCGGATAGATCCTTATCCAGAAGATGTAATCCTCACAAAATCGACTGAGTGGATAACCTTGATTATACACCCTTAGTTAAACTGGCTCCAGCAGTGTKTCATTAGTATAACGTAAAATTTCGTGTACGTTTTCGTAGCGCTTTTGCTGTTTCCTCTCCGTCTTCACTTGGGAATAAAAATCAAAATCGCTATAAAAACGCATTGAATTGATAGAATTACAAATCACTGTCATTTGATAAAATTGTTTAGCATTACTTTTTATGAAATAAAAGCTACAATATTTGCAATGTATTTGGTGGCTATTGCGTTTGTCGCCGAATTCAAAGACAACCCAACAACTCCAGAAATAACCTCTTGACTCTATTCATCAACATCCATATAATTGCCAATTTTTCAGCAAAAATAAAACATTTTCGACCAAAAACCATGAGCTATAGCCCATAAAATCACCACGTAACCCATTTTCGACCAAAAACCATGGGCTATGTATCCATTGAAACTCACCAAAAATGACCATTTTTCGACCAAAAACCATAGGCTGTAGCCCATAAAAATCATCAAAAAAGACTCATTTTCGACAAAAAAACATGGTCTATAACTCATCAAAATCACCAAATATGACCCATTTTCGACCAAAAACCATGGAGTATAGCGCATGAAAATCACCACATTTGACCCATTTTCGCCCAAAAACCATGGAGTATCCCATGAAAATCACCAAATATGACCCATTTTCGACCAAAAA